GCGCCGCCGCCGCCGGAGGCGACGGCGCCCGCCAGCGGCACCACTGGCGGTGTTTTGCATTCGGTTGTTGGCCCCCGGGGGGTCTCCATGGATCAGCCACAGTCGGCAACGGCGGGTGTTCATAGCTATGAGGTGAGTCATTTGAAACGCGTATATTTGTAAATGTTTGTGTGTATGTTTGTATGTATGTATTCACGTCGCGTCCGCCATAGGGGAGGGGAGGTGCCTGGGGTGAATAGCAGGGGGGGGATGGAAGACCATTGAGAGGAAAATGACTTGCGGCGATCGTCCACGGTGCCTAACTTAGCTTTGTTTTGGTACTAATTCCGTTGTTCAACTTCCTGCTTTGCTACACACATACACACCTGTGTTCCTGGCATCTCCGGCTTTCCTCCCTCCCCCCTCCTCACACACTCCCCCGCCTTCCTTTCCCTCGTTCGGAACCCCTCCGTCCGACATTGAAACAAAACGGCTCCGACACCCCGGCGGTGGTTTTAACACAATCTTCCTTCGTACCTTCTTGTCCGTACACTCGTACGACAGGTCCAGCTCGTCCTCGAGGTAAGGGATACACGAGGGCTGGTGGGGAGAAGATGGGGGAAGATGCCGAAATGCATGTTTAACTGATTAATGAAATGCATATTTTAGTGCTAAAGTTAATGTTTGTTGGGCGAGCAAGCAACTACTGCACAATCTCACAATTCTCGCTCTGTGCAAATTCGCAATTTGAAGGTTATGGCATAATGAGGTGAGATATACGTTGTTGCAGAACTCCTTTTGTTATCCACAAAATTTGCATTTGAGACCTAATAGTCTGATGATTTCGGGCAAGAACACTGCCAGAGAATAACTTTTGTTGCACAAGTAACCAATTTTAACTCCCGACTTCCAACTGTCCCTGCAGTACTGTGACCGGGGTTGCCTGCGTGATGCTCTGGACGCGGGCGCGTTCTTCTCCGCTAATGGTGCGAAATGAGGGCTCTGAAGGGGGGCTGGGGAGGAGGTGGCGGAGGGGAGGAGGTGGCGGAGGGGAGGAGGTGGCGGAGGGGAGGAGGTGGCGGAGGGGAGGAGGGGAGGAGGTGGCGGAGGGGAGGAGATGGCGGAGGGGAGGAGGGGAGGAGGTGGCGGAGGGGAGGAGGTGGCGGAGGTGACGCATCATGTCATGTTAGAAAACACAAAAAGGGGTCAATACTAGGGATTATAGCAAAAAAGCTCTGAAGCGGCTCCCAGAGGACCACATTCTGGGGCAGTGCGGTGGGGGAAGGGGCGGGGTGAGGGTGAGGGTGAGGGCGAGAGTGAGGGTGAGGGTGAAAGAAACGAGGACTTTAGGAAGTCGTTTATTTACCTCTAGGCGGGTGGAAGGGGGTTTTAGGGGCTGGGTCTTTTCCTGGGGAGTGGTGGGAGGGCCAAGGGGAAGAAAGAAGCGCTGGGAGGAGGAGGAGGAGGAGGAGGAGGGGGAAAACCGGAGGGGGGGTTCGTGAGGGGTAGTTGGTAAAAAAACGGAAAATATGGAGGAAAGTTAAGGGAAAGGAGGATGTCTCTGCCGGTTTTATTATCGGGATAGGATGCCTGTGCTTCTGTTTCTGTTTTTCTGATTTTACTGCGTGTGTTTTACATGTAATGTCGTACACACGTCGTACGCTGCTGAGCAGCGGTGTGACTTGGCGGTTGGTGACGCCATGCGTGTGTCTCTCCAGGTGCTGGAAAAGTTAACCTGAGAAGTAACAGAAATACCTGAAACCGTTATTTCGGGTGTTTGTTCTGTATGTAGGTCTCAACTACCCGGCCATTTTGGAGACCGCTGCAGACATTGCCAAAGCAATGTTGCACCTGCACCTCAACGATGTACTGCACAGCGATCTTAAGGTGCGTACGACGGTTGTACGGCAGATGTATGCAAACCAATGTGCGAATGGCTTTCCATGGGAATCTTCTGGATCTTGTAGCTCAATAACTCTTTTATTGCACGTGGCATACCTTTATGCGCGTAAAACGTACATATACATATACACATACACATACACATACACGCACGCCAATGCAACCACGAACACGCAATGCACCTCACCCCGCCTTCCCTCCGACCGCAAACACACGAAGCTCCTTGTATCTGACATCATCATCATCATCATCTATCTGACACCATCTTCTAAATGACACTCAATGAAACACCCCAGTGCGAGCCGCACCCTTGTTGCGTCCTTGTCGCCCTTCGTCGTCACGTGGGGGCGCCCCGGCAGAGCAGATGATTTACACGTGTCGAACGATATCCCCCCCTTTCCCCAGCTCTCGACCCTCAGTTACGGCATTCTCACCTACTCCCCTCCCCCCAATAGCTTCCCCCTCTTCCCGTCCCCCCCTACTGGTCAGTTCTGCTGCTTGTACACTCTTTCCTTGGCAGCAGCTTCACTCGTTCGTGGCCCTCCACCTCCCCGTCTGGTCCCCCCAACCACCCCCAGGCCACCAACGTGATGCTCAAGAGCACGGGGGGCTCTGAGTCCGGTCGTGGAGTGATCGCTAAAGTGGCGGATTTCGGTTTGTCGGTTCGTCTGGACCCCACAGCCACCCACATGTCTCACGCGTTCCAGGGCTCCCTCACACACATGGCCCCGGTGGGTTTCGGAGGAAAAAAAGGGACTATTTTGGGGTTTCCCTATAGAGGGGGTTTAAGGGGTTTAGGGGTGTCTCCAGATGATGGTTTGTTTTCGTGGTTGTTGTTTTTGTTTTATTTATCGTAGTATTACAGCACGAAGAGCCCTCCGGATGGATCCCGAGGGGATAAATGTTGTCAGTTGGCTGGACTTTTGTTTGCATCACATGGTGAATTACGCTCTCTCCACACACACACACACACACCCCTCACACTTCCTTCCTCTTCGTGGGCTGCGTTCAGGAGGTGATGCTCCAGGGCCACATCAGCAGGCCGGCAGATGGTGAGGGGTTGGGAGGGTTGAGGGTGGGTGGGTGTAAGGTGGGGAAGATGGGGGGAATTGTCGGGCGGCTTTGGGCGGCCTCGTCGGAATTGAGTTGGTCACCAACCCCTCCCTCCCCCCTTTCCCTTCAGTCCTGTGTTTATCCTGTGTCCGTAGTTTTTGACCTTTAATATCCACGTGGAATATTGTTTTATATATCCGGCACATAGGGGTTGTAAGTTGTGTTTATGAAAAACCTGCCCACCTGCCTTCCTTACCGTCCTCCCCTCACCTTACCTGCGCCTTCACCGATCCCCGGAGAGCCGTCTATCCCCCGTCCCTTGGTGACATCCGTGGGGAATCTTGGGTTTCGTTGGGGGGGAAGGGGAAAAGATGAGGCGGTCACTGGGCAGCTCTCCAGGGAGGAAGTTTTCCAAACGCCAAACGGTGGACTTAGCTCCCTTCTGGCCCTTGCACGACAAGAAAATAACAAAAACCAACAATTTAAAAATCTGTAATGGTATGTTTTCAAGTAACCTGTAGAAAAACTAAAACAAAACGTGAAATAAAAACTAAATTCCCGTGCTCTCTGCCCCGTTTTTCGTCGTGTTTCAGTTTACGCGTTCGGCATTACCCTGTGGGAGATCTTCACCGGTGGCCAGGCGTACCGCGGTACGTGTGCGTATTTTGTTTTGTGTACGGCATGTACAGCACGTAGCTGCTCCTCGGGATTCTGTGTCTGTGTTCCTCTCATTTGCTGCTCAAAACCCCTCCCAACGGAAACCCTGCACAGCATCACACAACATTCCTCCTCTATTACGGCGGCAGGCGATGTGCCCTTTGCCTCGGGTTCTTTACGTTACGGTATAGAAACTTGGTAGCCCGCTGTAACAAGAAGGACAACAAGGAGAACATTCCTCCTCCCTCCCCCAAATATAATACAAGGAATTCCTCCCCCTCCCCTTTTCCCCTTATGTTGTAAAAACCAATAACATTAGTACGAAATAATAATAATAATAATAATAATAATAAACGACAAATGATACTAATTAATAACAATAATGATGATGACGGTAATGATGACGATAATGATGGCCCTAAGGTACTCCTGGCGCGCTGCTGGGTCATCAGACCAGTAAGGAGGGTCGGAGGCCCGTGTTCCCCGCGGGTACCCCCCGCGCGTATCGGGAGCTGGCGGAGAGGTGCTGGCACGCCGTGGCGGCGAATAGGTGGGGATGGGAGGGAGGGAGGGAGGGGTCAGGAGGGGCAGAGGGGGGGTCTCCTGTTGTGTTGTGTTGTGGGCTGATTTGGGGGGGGGAAAGGGGGATGGCGAATGTGGGGATGGGGAGGGGTTGAACATGTGTTGGGATGGCCTGCGGTTGGCGGTTGCTCTAAGGGTACGTGTTGAAATTTTGTTTGGCTTTGTTCTTACGTGTTCATGTTTCCTTGGTTGGGTGCTCTTATTTCCCAAGGTGTTAACTTGGACCTGCTGGCAATGTGCGCGAGCACTGGCTCGTTTCGGTTTCGGTGGATTCCGCTTTGGCTGGATCCTGGATTTGTTCGTTTTCTTCTTTTGGATCGTTCGAATCAGGTCTATGTTTTTTCTTGGGCGCATAACGTCCTCAGCTCCTTCCTCTCTCTCTCCCCCTCTCTCTCTCTTTCTCCCGCCCTTAGGCCGACCTTTTCCGAGATCTTGGATTTGCTTAACAAGATGCGAAGTGAGATACCAGGCCCCACGACGCCGCTGCAGCCCTTCACGCCATTGAACAAAAAGATGGCTGAGGCGCTAGCACAGGAACAGCAGCAGCAGCAGCACCCGCGCCAGCCATATCCCCACCACCAGCAGCAGCACCACCACCACCACAACGAGCAGAACGGCAACGGCCACGCGCACGGCGGCGCCGGTGATGGCGGTTACAGCAACGGGCTCGGCTTCGGCGGCGGCGGCGACGGCGGCGGCATCATCATCGGTGGCGGCGGTGGTAGTGGCAGCAGTTTTGGAGTGGGGGCCAGCGGCGCCGGCGGCAGTGGTATTGCGCCGCTGCACAAAATCGGGGGACCGGCGGTAAGGTGGTTGGGCTGGTGCGTCTATGTAGGTCTATGTAGGTGCATACCTGGACGACACGTTCTAAAATACACGTTCTAAAATACACGTTCTAAAATACACGCTCTAAAATACACGCTCTAAAATACACGCTCTAAAATACACGCTCTAAAATACACGCTCTAAAATACACGCTCTAAAATACACGTTCTAAAATACACGTTCTAAAATACACGTTCTAAAATACACGTTCTAAAATACACGTTCTAGAATACACGTGTCGTGCACGCATACACGTCCGCAAGGGTGCAACCCCTCGCGGCGACCCCTCAATGGTCAAAATGTCCCCTCGGGGCCCTCTAACCACCCTCACGGTCTTCCCTGTCCTGCCCATGACAACCCCCCCTCCCGTCCCGGTCAGGCTATCGTTGTGGGGGGTCGCCTGGTTTCATTGAACGCCGCCATTCACTCGGTGGAGTCCAACGGGGGCCGCATGATGCTGGGGGGCAACATCGCCGCCGCGGGGGCGTCACTGGGGGGTCTGGGGCTCCCGGGTGTACTGGAGACGATCAATGAGGAGGGAATGGGGGATGTGAGCGCGGCGCTGCCGCCGGCGCCGGCGGCAGCGGCGGCGGCGGCGGCTGGCGCCGCCGGCGCCGGCGTAGCAGTAGAAGCCCTTCATCGCAATGTAACACAGCAGCAGCAGCAACAGCAGCAGATGGACGAAGGGGGTTGGGCGGGCGGTGGCTTAGCACCGGCGGCGGTGACGGTGGCGGTGTCTCGAGAAGTGAAGGTGGGAGAGGAGGGGGAAGTTTGAGTGGGTGGAGGAGAAGACTGAGGGATTAGGTGTGGGTTGGGCGGGCGGATTGATGCATTGTGGAGGTGGGAGCGAGTCGGTACTGGATTCGTTTTTGTGATATTGTTGGAGATGGAACGTTAGCTAGGGTTTGGTTGCTATCCTGCTTACCTCAGTGTGTCTGTTTGTTTGTCTGTCTGTTTGTCTGTTTGTTTGTCTGTGTCTGCTTTATCATCTCCTTGGGTGGCTGTGTGACTGTGTGATAGTTATTATTGATTGGGTGGTTGGGTGGTTAAATTGTTGCAGGTCGGTTCGGGGCCACGAGCGTGCGTATTATTAGTTGTATGTTTTATTTGTGGGGCGGTCGTGGTTTTAGGCGGTTTTAGTGGTTTCAGTTGCTGTGTGATCTGATCCCGCCCAAGAGCGGAGACCGCAACCTTCCTAGCTTTGAATTACTGTTCGGGTTGGGTGGGTCGTTGGGGGCGGTCTTGTTATGTGTTGTTGTTGTAAGTACCTGGTAGGGGAGGGGGGCGTGGGGCGGGTTTCGGGGCCTCGATAAAGGACAGAGGTTTTGGTTGGTTGACGGGGTGGTGAGGGTGAGGATGATGGTGAAGAGTGGTGGTGGTGGTGGTGGTGGTGGTGAGGAGGAGGAGGAAGTGGGAAAGGAGGGAATCGATGCCTCGGTGGTGCTGCTGCTGCAGCTGCAGCTGCGGCTGCGGCTGCCGTTTCTTTGTGAGGAAGGTAGGCTTTCTCCCAACGCGCGCACGTGTGTGCGCATTTGTATTTCTCTTTTAGTGTATATATCTGTGTATTTGCGCACGTGTGTGCGTATCCATGCGCGTGTGTGTTTTAATGAACTGTGCATCTGCATGTATGTGCGGAACACATCTTCGGCACGGGTGCATTTTTGATCTGGTCTGTGATTCCCCCTCCTCCCCACCCTCCCGAGTCGCGAACTTACACACGACATCGACGACAACAGGGTGGCGCAGAGGCCCCTCAGGTTACCACACACGCACACAGACCCAACTCACATAACACACACACACACACACAACTCACATAGCATAGCTTCCGTCACCAACATCATCATCGTCTCGTCATCGCCCATCCCTCACACATCCTTCTGCCTTGCGGCGCCGCACCTGCTGTTGGGGTTTTTTATTCGGTATCTTGGCGCGAACTTTTATTATTGACACTTGGAAGTTCGTCTAGGTCGGGGGGGGGACCGGATGGAAGCGAGAAACGGATATTGTACGGTGGCGGCGGTCGCCGCGCTAGTGCATGTCTTATGTGTGTGTGTACATGTGCGTGTACGACATGCATGCATGGTAGTACGGTTGGTGGTTGTAACGGGGGGGTGGAGACATTGCTGACACCTGGTTACTGTGTGCATGTGTAGGTGTGTACGTATATGTATACGTATGTACGTATATATGTCTTGCGGATGATTGCGTATTTGTGCTCCTGTCCTGTCCTGTCCTTTTTCTATGAGATGAGCGGAGGTGGGCTCACTTCCGCGGGTCGGGTCGGGTCGGGTCAGGTGGACATGAAGTATTGCTCGTATATTCTGCTACTACTGCTGCTGTTGCTTCATATCCCGTTTGGGACGGTCATCCTTTTCCTTCTCCTCCTCCGCCGCCGCCTCCTGCTGTGCTGTCTACCGCTGCGTCTGCTTCTCCTTCTTCTTCTTCTGCTGCTGCTAACTCAGCTGGGCACGCATCCGGGACTGCCGTACAACATCCCCAATGGTGTTATCATTTCCCTCGGCAGCAGCACACCAGGACCAGGACTGGTCACCGGCATGTTATGAAGCATCAGCTCCCAAATGCGCTCACGTGCTGGAGCTTTGTACGTCTGTACGTCTGTACATGTATCAGTGCAGTGCAGCGTCTGTGTGCACGCGCCTCTTTGTGTGTATGTGTCCTTGTGTGTTCAGGACGTGATAGATGAAATCCTAAATGGATTTCGTGCACTAAAGCTGCAACGTGATTCGTCTGGGCCTTGATTACCTGGGGGCCGTGTGTGTGTACGTGTTTGTTTTGTGTGTCCTTTACAACGGCAGCCGGGGCCTCTGGCCCAATTGTCGTACGGGAGACGCTGGTTTACCGAGCATTTGAATTGTTGTGGACGGCGAGGGTAAGAGACCGTTGGCGGTTGGAGCGGTTGGAAGACCCACGCGAGCGCAAGCGAGTGAGAGGGCGGATGGTAAGATACATATCACGCTTTGCTTTAACTAACTGTCATATGCCCTTCTGCTCGGTGGCGGTTGCAACGGTTGATGTGGTGGGCATTTCAGGGGGCGATGCGGCTCTGGCGAACTAACTCTTCGCTGTTGCGAGGTGCCCTAATAAAACCGCGGATTAGTATCGGCTGCGATGGTGATTGGGGCAAAGGAAGCCCAAACCAGCCAACTGGAAAAAACTGTGCAAGGAAAGGATGTCTTGTCGTGTGGTGGTTGGGTGCTGTTATATACGGTTGGTCCTTTGCTGGTCCTCTGGCTGCTTTTCAACGGTTGGTTGCTCTGCACCACGTTTTCAGCTCAAGGGGGTTCACGGGGGTTTACCTGGAACCGGATTAGGTTCTCGCCATTCCGGACACCAATGATGCCAATGGGAGGCCGTTTTTAGTAATTTAGTAGTGTGTAGCACTTGGGGGACGCGATGATGGTAATGGTGGTGAATGGGGAGGTGATGTCGAGTTGATAAATACACGCATACACGTTCTTCGTGATCTTGTATGACGACGAAGAAATGAAAAAGAAGACGTCCATCATGAAAAAGAAGACGATCCATCATTTGAAATCGTGCCGCTTGGAAAGGAGAGGCGGAGGAGGCGGATTGCGGATGTGTGCGTCAAGGTGGCGGTCGTCTTGAGACTGTGTTGTTAGGCGTGTTCTTCTTTGTCGTTGCGACTTCTCAGGCTCAGTATATGCGCATATGCGCGCCCGCAACCGCCTCTCTTCCCTCACCACCACGTGTACTGGTTTGGGAAGGGAGGTGCGGCCACGTCGGCCGGCCACGAAATATGAAAGGGACAAACAACTGTTGTTTTGCACCGCTATCAGCGAACTTTGCATTCGCGAACTGTGTGTGTGTGTGTGTATGTGTATGTGTATGTGTATGTGTATGTGTATGTGTATGTGTATGTGTATGTGTATGTGTATGTGTATGTGTATGTGTATGTGTATGTGTATGTGTATGTGTATGTGTATGTGTATGTGTATGTGTATGTGTATGTGTATGTGTATGTGTATGTGTATGTGTATGTGTATGTGTATGTGTATGTGTATGTGTATGTGTATGTGTATGTGTATGTGTATGTGTATGTGTATGTGTGTGTGTGTGTGTGTGTGTATGTGTGTGTGTGTATGTGTGTGTGTGTGTGTGTGCCTGTTGACAGAGTACTGTCGACACAAGGATCAATGATGAAGGGTGGGAAGCAGAAAATGTCTTGTCGCGTCTAGCGGTCACGCGGCTTCTGCGTCTCACTCCCATTGAAATAATGTCAATGCATAAAAATATTTATGCGTATAATCGTACGGACAAAACGCCTTATGCGTGTGGGTATTGAATTGAATACTAGTGATCCTTGCAGCAAGAAATAAGTTTTGCACAAATTTTCTCTGGCTCTGATTCCGTTTCCTTCGCAACTTTTCAGATCGCACTGCGGTTATCAATATTGCACTTCAGAAGCAGCGACCTTGAAGCAGGGACCTATGTTCTGTCCACAATAAATATCATGCGTCATTTTGTCAGGTACTCGATATTGATATCAGTGTATTGTTAGGGCGGGTGCACGGCTGCAGCGGTAGTGTAAGGCCGCAACCATGCTGACAAGTCGGATGCGCGAGCGCACCATTGACAAATCCCCGAGAAATATTCAAGTTAATCGCAGGTCCTCAATGAGGACCATATTAGCGATTAAGCTAATAAGAACAGATACTACACATGATCTGAGCCAAAAGGCCGAGAAAGGTATGATGTTGCAGGGGACACCTCACAGTGGTTGTCATAATTGATAACCTGAGCGTGGTGCTTTAAATGATGGTGGGTCAAGCTAATCGACTGTCTGCCACGGAAACCTGCTTAAACGAATCCAAGCAATTGGTATTAAAATCTATCCGTTTTGCTAGTATATGCTATTGGCGATAAGAGTCCTTCAGTGGACGCATCACTCGCTCATATCGTCGCAACAAGCAAGGATAACCATGACATCAGAACTAGTCGCAGCCGATCCTGATCTGATGTCGTATCAGAATCGAAACAACCAAACAAACTACAAAGGTGCCAATAGGCTGAGCGTCTTTCGGATCGCTTCTTCAACATTGCACACGCGCTCAGGACTTGCACTGGCACACACGTTCATAGCTGTGCGCTGCTTCGCAAACTTCTCCAGGGGCAACGGCTTCGTTAGACAATCGGCCACCATATCCTGCGACCTGCATTCTACCATCACCAGCGTACCGAGCGCTACCTGCTCCCGTACGAAATGGTAACAGAAATGTGCTTCGACCTGCTTAGACACAATTGGATTTCCCGGCAACCGAATCGCAGTATTGACTATCACAATTTATTTGCGTTGGCTGAAGGTCGTAGCCAAGTAGTTGTCGCAACCACAGCAACCTCCGGAAGCCGCCATGTATTCCGCTTCCATCGTTGATGCGGCTATACTCCCCTGAACCTTGATTGCCCAAACAGTGCTCAGCGAACAGCTCCACCGTGAAGAACGAAAACAGAACCGAACGTTAATCGCCGCGTATCTACGTATCTACGCCGCGTAATCGGCATCACTATGTCCGAATAACATCTCATCAGCGCGCTCATCACCAAGAGTTCCTGATAAACAACGAACAACCTCTTTCGCTGCCTTCCTGTGCGACTTGCTGAGGATTCGCCATATGCGCAATATCATATGCGCATACACCCAGAAATTTCGGCTCATATCCGACCATCACTCCCGTTAGGCACAACGGATCCAGCTTCTTTCTGGACATTTTTGGGATCTGCGCATAGCCGCACAACCGAATACTCGCAATCGATGGCCTCGAACTATAAGCTCATGATCTACTCCCTCGCCTACAAGTACCCCACCACGGCACACCCATATCATACAGTCCACATCTTCCCTATCACAACTTTACATTCGTATACACACTTGCTGTCGCAGAAATTCTTTACCATGTTCAATACCATCATTATGCGCTGCTTACACACCTGCGGCGTGCGGCACGCCCAAAGATGCAACGACTCCCTAATATTAAGTTATCATCCGAGATCCTTATGGTGGGCAAGCCTACGTACGCGTAGCGTGCGGTTTTACAGGTGCGGCTACCGGGGAAGTTAATGTGAACCCTTTTGCATAGCGCATCGAAACGCCCTGGTGGATCCAATTGCGAAGGGTTACCTCAGATAATTATACTCTATAATTCCGCGATACATACAGATTGACGGAGCTTCCCGGTGTCCTGCTCCACTTTTCAGTATGCCGTTCAGTTACAGCAACTGTGAACTGTGAAGCCTAGGCCAGGTGAAGTCCTCCCTTGAAGCAAATAATATCTTAAATCTGCAACTTTACGAAACTAGGCATATAGCACAGCAGGATTAGCGCACAAGAGCTGGACAGCTCGGCATAAAGAAGGATGCTCGTCCAATTAATGCCCCCGCTTAGTTCAGTCCTTTGTATTAGTAGGCACTGTAAATAATCTTACAAGCTCAATCTCGAAACGCACAGGAAAATTCAACGTAGCCAGGTATCAGCGTTATCACAGGGTTTCTTTGCCCTGCCCCAACTGCGCTTACAGATCTGCGACCTCGGCAGGGCGGTACTTTGGGTAGACATATTTATAAATCGTATTCATACGTCAAGACTCCCGCGACCCAGGAACCTCTGCCAGTTCTATTGCTCGACTTCATTTCCTGTGTCTGCCTTTGCGCCATGGACACGTTAGAATATAACGTGCTTCGTGAAAGAGGTGAGCTCGATAAACATTCCGGCCGAAGTTCAACTGTGCTGTGACCGAAGCCGAAGTCTCAGTGTATCTCCGTTCCTGCCTCAGCTTGTAATGCACCTGGAGCGCTGTTGCAACCATCAGTTGAAGAGATGCAACAGTGGGTGACAAGCCTGAACAGAAGGCGGAGCTTGCACTTCACGGCTGGTATGGAGCCTTCAGGGCATTACGAGGCCTCTTTCAGGGTAAGCATACCAATTGGCAACGCTGCGGCAAGAATGGCTGATGCTTGCCGTGCGGAACAGGTTGGCAGTTTGGGTCACATCCCGTTTACCTTCCTGTCGCCGACGTGGATGCAGGAGCTGGAGCAGCGTTACCAGTTGGAGGACGTGTGGGGCCACAATACGACGCCTGCGATGCAGGTAAGGAACTTAGGAGTCCAGCCGAGCGAAGCCTATCTGAGTGGCTGCTTGACGTTTTACTCATTGGCAACACCACAGCCGTGATAAGACTTAGGATTAAGCTGAAGGTTATCCATGAAGGTGCAAAGCTTGCCATGGTTTGGTCCTTGCCAGGGCCCTGCCCATGGCACCCGAAACGCAGTGGTATTGCAGTATGATTACTTATGGATTAAGGCTGATTCTTCGGGGATTACTAGCAGCTGTGCGGCCGGCTCCGCAGCTTCTACGCGTAGTCTTTGAAGGCTGCAGGCCAGCGGTTAACAAACCTGCTAGATGTTAAGAGTTGCTGTCCCCTCTATCGCCCTTGTCGAGATGGTCACCTTGACAAAAAACAACGGTGCGGTATTGCATCCCACTGCACCACAGCACCTTTTACTCAGCGCGCTCGCTCAGCCTAACCACTTTCCTGCCCTTCCGGTCAAAAAGGAAAAGCGCCGAGTGGGTCGTCCCCTTGCGGGTGTCTCCTCCTAAAGTCACATCACAGTTGCCTACTCCACCAAAAAGCCAGGTACCGCTCGAGCCAAGCCACTCTGTTATTCTGTCCTTAAAGCCGGAAGCCGGCCCAGCCCATGTGCGCATCCCAAGCTTTCATCCCTGCCTCTCAACGCACATTAACCTATCCAACGTTGAACCCACCATCCTTTTTCCTTTTCCCTCAGACCCTGGAGTGCATCCAAAAGGTGAAGCAGGCGCTCGTGGAGGAAGCGGCAGACGACACGATTTCCAGCAGCACGTTTTCGGTGCTTGTTGCGCTCAGCGTGGTGGCGGCGGTGGCGATCGTGCTCACCTGGTTAGTTAGTGAGGGTCGGCGCGGGAATGGGGGGGTCTTGTGTGAGGTTGGCAGTATGCGGGTGTGACGGTGGTTCAGGGTTGAGAATTCTCCAATGTGGGGGTCGTGGTTAGAAATGCATGCGGTGTCGTGTTACGGGGTGTGTGGGTGCTGTCTGGATATGGCCTGCACCGCCCTCTTCCTCCTGCACTCACCTCAAGAGCACGCACCTAGCCCGCATTGCCAAATTGCTGTTGTGTACTCGTCACACCATGCACTTAGTCCCGGCGTTGGGATTAGAGAGGCAAGACACAGGCAGATAGATGGACGCTTGATTACTGCTCTCGACTCGACTCCAAAACCGGTCAGGATCCCTTTTAAGCGACACTGGTCGTGCGAGTAGCCCCCTCCTCTCCCCCCACTGGCATCTACGCCCCCCTATGGACCGCCCGGCGGCCCCGGTGTTTTTTCTGGCGACCCCATGCCGACCTGCTGCCCCCACGTCTCCCCTGGCCCCCCAACACCCATCCGCCGGGGACTGCTTCGTGTTTCCGCTGCCTGTAACCCAAGGGAGCTCTACCTGAGGCCCCGAAACCCTGCCGGAATACCCACGTACTAGCCTGGGACGCAGAAACCCATCGGGCATCGGCGTCGCCATCATCTGACATCACATCGCATGGCTGCCACTCCGCAAGCTGTGTGTTTGTGTTTGTGGGGGGGGGAGAGAAGCGGGGTGTTGCGGGGGATGGGTGGATGGGCTGGGGAACGGGCGGGCACTCCGAGGGGCCTTAAATACCCTTGTGGTTGTGTAGTAATGTTACACACACATCTTGGTAAAGGTTATGTTACAAGTTACAAGTTCCGCACACAAGGGCGGGTGTGCCCGTAAAAGCCGGGGGAGGGGGCCAAGGACGTAATGGGAGGGAGATGACGGCGTCGCGATGTCCGGTAGCGGCTACAATGGACATCAGCATCCTGGAGCCAGGGATGGCTTTGGTAAGCATTTGGACTGCACAGCCGGGCTCTTGACTACCTACAGTACTGGTGACGTATACTTGTTGTACAGTTTTGCATGGTTGCGGTACCGTGAAACATTACGCGAACAGTCGCTTTGTCGGCAAAACTTACGAATATTAATGGTTGTGGTTGCATTGGCAGTCGGTTTTGCTGGCAATGCTTTTATAAATGCACAATGTATGTTGTATGGCGGTCTCAGCCGGCGTGGGGAGCTTGCTGAGAGCGGTGCGTGTATGCTTTGTGCTGGGAGGGTGCAAACATAAGCCCCTCCTGCTTTTCTGAGTGGGAAGCGGGGGAAGGGGCGGATGGAAGTGCAGCAGTGCAGCACAAGGGGATGGGAGGAGGCAGAACAGCAGGAGTGAGTGAACCGGTCGGAGCGAACCGACTTGGTTCAGTCGGCCGCAATAGCGCAAAGCAGCGACGGACATTTCAGGGTGGTGCTTGATGGGCGTCCGATGGGCGTGGCAAATCGCCCATTGGTAGCAATTATGAGTTGTCTGCTCCTCGGTTTGTCTGCTTGTATGTCCGAATGTGATGGAATTTTTGTACTAGATACAAAACTTAGTGGCCGGCTGATGAAGCTGTGTTCACTTCGGGCGTTGCCGCAACTACCATCGTCACACCCGCACATGGCCATCATCATCATATTCTATAACGTTTATAACAGTGTGTTGTGTTGTGTAGCGTAGTGTGGCCTACTCAGCAGCCCACATCTTCCAACTGCAACCCCATGTGATCTTGTATGTATGTACGTATGTATGTATGTATGTGCTTCACACGGCTGCCGGCAGCCATAGGGCCCTCTCACGGTAATGCGGATGCTGCACCTAGGTCTCTGCCTCTTTGTATTTGCTGGAGGCCGCAGCGTTGGAAACAAGAATGGATGAAGGGCCCTCTGGGCGTTGTGCGTTGTGGGGAGCTGGTTTTGGAGCGGAGGGTGAGGCGGTATCCGGGGGGGGAACTGAGGGAAGGCGCAGTACGAGCTGGCTTCTCTTGGAATTGGAGTGTATTAAAAGTGAATCTAATCTAATTGGTGCACGGAACTAAAAAATATTTCACATACCTTAAAACTCAATTTCTATTCCTAGCGCTCACCGGAGTTTCATAGTTGGCCCGTACTCGGAACTAAGGCGCAACGCATTACGGCGGCAGAGGCGCGGGGCTTTATGGCTGAGGATCTTTTCGAAGCTATTAATTGTATCTGCACGGCACTGTTTGATATAGATGGCGCGCTCGTCTCTGTGCGTCTTGTTGAACTATGTCTGTGTCTGTCTATTAGGCCAAGAGGACTGTTGTTCACAGGAACTTACTTTTTATGCTTGGCTGTCTGTTTGTGTGTCTGTCTTTGGCTGTCTGTACAGTATGTCTGTGTAATGGCTTTCCTTCGGGATAGCCGTCGTACCCGCCGCCTGCCGTACATGGGAATGGCGGAGAGCTCATTTGCAGGGGCCTTTGTGGGGGACTTGAAACGGCAGGCAGGGCAGGGATATTGCTGTTTTGCAGTTGCTCCTATTGCTGCGTTTTTGGTCTTCTTCCTGCTTTTCCAACTCGCCTTGTTAGACTCCTATCTTGAGGGCCTAGTACGGCAGGTGAAATAGGACTCGAATATGAAATGAGGCGCGATGGAAACAGAAACTTCAATCACGGATCCTTGTCCTCTCCACCGGGGTCTGTAGCCCCATGGACTTGTGAGGAAGGCGGTGCCGGTTAATGCCTCTTGCGCTGCCGGCATTACTGCACACGAACACGAGTAGCTCTTGTCGTGTGTTGCACTAGAGGACCAGGGGCATATACATACATACAGATATAAATACAGATATATGCATATATATGGCGCAGCTGTTATCCGCTGGTGTTGGTGTTTGGCGATGGCGATGATGAGTGTGCGTGTATGTGTGCGCGTATGCATGTTTGTCTGTATCTTTGTATGTGTGCACTAACGTAATTATGATCGCACAGGATGCACGCGTGTTGGGAAGGGAAGCCGCGGGGTGCTCCTTGAAAAGCGAGGGTGCTTTGTGGCGACGTGTTGGGACGTGTGACTATTGCAGGTATCGGCGGCGGGCGTCGCCAACGCCTGTTCCGTGTGCGTGTGTATGTGTCCATGTGGTGTAGCTAGGTGTCTGGCACCTTCCTGAATCCCATCCAGTTGACCATTTGGGCATGTGCACGTCTTTCTGTCTGTGTGCACGTGTGTGTGCATTATCGCTGCGAAAATGGTGGTCGGTATCGTGGGGAGCCGGGGGGCTTTGGTTCAGTGTATTTAGCATCATTAGACTCGGATCGGCGTTACAGCGAGGAGATAACGATGTTGGAACAGATGATATGGTAAATGAACATGCAAGCTGCTCGCTCTCGATCGTTCTGAAAAACGGAAAGCGGCAACGGCGACGACAAGAGTGCAAACCAACAACCTGATTTGTAGTTTGTAGGAGAGGGGGCCACCAGCAAAGAAACTCGATCACTTTGTACATTCCACCGCACCGTAAGGCTGTTGCCTCAGTCTCGACTGGTAGGTCTTCCATTTATTGGCGCCTAGGTTCTGTCAATATTGGCTGCGACCTAGTGGCCGCCACTTCCGCTCTCGTCGCCCTAGACATACGGACATACAGATTGACCCTGGGTGCTGCGCTGCCCGCTGGCCCTGCTGGTTCGAACCGTTTGTTTACTGCAGATGGGGCACATGAGTAGCCAACGCTGCTCTGCGCTGTGTGCTGGTTGTGTGCGCTGCGCTCACGTTCTGCGGATGGGTGCGCTGCGCTGGCACTGCCTATCTTCTAAAGCACAGCGAGTGTCAGGTGCCGTGCGGCACACACTCCCCTAGCCAGCTTAGAGAATGGGGGGGGTCCTTGCTTCCGGTTTAATCTCGCGTAACCCAACAGCTTTAAAATTTGTAGCGTAGCAGTAGTGGCTGTATCGGAGAGTGTTGTGATTATAGCTTTGGTAGCCGTGTAAGTCTGGTTTGCCTTTGTGCATGAGCTTGAGGAGGAAAGGTGTTATCATCAACACCATCGATAGAGACGGTAATGGCAACAACTCTGCCTGCTATGCTCTGCCTACTTGGCAAGAGCATCTGTTGCTCTCTGTCACTCCCTGCTCCTCTCGCTCCCGTTCTTTGTTGTTGTTGTTGTTGCTGCTGCTGTCCATGAGCGAGAAAATCTCGCCCTGTCTACTTCCTTGCAGCATAACCACGCAGGCCAGGGAGTGGAGTGGTTTTCCTTTTTCCTGGGAATGGACTAGTTATATCCATCCGCCGGCCCTTCCTGAGTCTCCAAGTTGCGAGGAGCTTTTTACTATTTCGCTTCTTTTTCTTCTTCCCGAAGCTTCTTCACAGAGGATCGATGAGGGGAAGAGAGGGTGTACGTGTGTATGTGTATGTGTGAGTGTGTGTGTGTGTGTATGTGTCGGGGGAGGGGGAGGGGGAGGGGGAGAAGAGATGGTATATTGGCAATGGGAGATGAGATGAAGGTGAGTCGGGGTCGGGCCGGCAGTGGCTGGTTGCGAAAGGCTAAGCAACAAAAAGCCAAAAAAGCCCTGAATTTCTTCTGCAGCCAGAAGTCCGCCGTATTTGTGACGACTGAAAGAGAACACGACCCTTTGTTCTTTTTGGATGGCCTGAGGTGATTTAGTTTCATTTCCATTCTTCACATGTTGGGGCATTTTCAATCGTGCTCCTTTTTTACACGCGCGCGGCGGAGTATGTAAGAGTTAAGTTGAGCGAGGTTGGAGAAATGGTGAGAATTGATGTGAAAGGTCGTCGTGTGCTGTTATTATTAGAGGTACCAAAGGGAGCTGCCTGGCGCCAGCATGGACAGATGGAACTGCATTTCCGTTTGTGGGCCTTATTCGGTGGGCCCCGGAGGGGTCCGGCGGCTAACGGCCCAATGAGCTGCCCGTCTGTATGTCTGCCCGGCTTCGGTGGCTTCCATGTTTATAAATCGGTGTACCTTGGGGGGGGAAACGAGTGGAGCTGCGTTTGTGACGCTTTCAGGTCACACAATTTTATTAATTGAGGGCGATACCGTCAGTCGACTGTGCGAGTAATATAATAACAAAATGTGCGGAAGGAGATCAATGGCAGCGGTGGCAGGTCTACAAGGGGTGTATTTCGCAACGCCTTCAGGCAGCATGGCAAGGAAAAAGGGAGGAATGCGAGGCCGCTCTGATGACTGCGGAGCCGAGAACCCCCGGTGTAATTCATGGTTAGTCGATTGACGCGGATGGGTTGATGGGGACTGTATTTCGAGCTGCGGGTAAGGCTGCTTCCAGGGTTGCTTATTTAGTACATGTCACGTCCCACGCACACATCCCTTTGTGTTGTTGTTGTTGTTGTTGTTGTTGTCACAGCGGGCCTCCTTTATAGCCAGCTGCAGCAGCATCAGACAACAACAACAGCATCAAACAACAACAGCAGTATCAGACAGCATCAGCACTGCAGTAGATGTTCAACCCGATATCTTAGCACGACACTTGAGATCCGTTCGGATCCGCTGTAAGGTTATGTGCATCATCTTATCTTGTAGCATAGTTCGCAGCCGGCGCGGGATGGTCCTATTGGGGCGCCTTTCTGCTGCAGCAGCCCGCAATTGGAAAACAGGAAGAGCTGCTCACTGCTGCCACTTTTTTGTTGTAATGTGGAGGTAAAAACATACGAATATAGATAACGTTTTGGTGTATTTTTGCTGAGCTTTATGTGCGGGATGATGTATGGACACATATTGCTGCTATGCAGGTAGGTGATTTTACTGCTGCAGGTGATCTTACTGCTGCAGGTGAAGACCAGGTAAAGCCAGCGCACGAACGTTATGGCGGTGATCATCAGGATGCACGGGATGCGGTGGTCATCAAAATTTGTAAAGTATTACGTAGCTATTTAAGCAGTAGGTACTAGTTAGTGTGTCGCGGTACGAGGTCGCGCGGAAGGGCAGCTGGTGATTTTATTGATAGTTTGCTCGCGGACGGGTGCTGAACGGACCCTCGTGGCCAGCACTTTGCACACACATACAGACAAACAGACACACTTACATACATACACAGGCAGGCGGCTGGCAGAGGTTAAGGCCTGACTTCTGCACCTGGCCGACCCGGGTTCAAATCCGCCTGCCGGCTCCTCGGGTGTTTGAGGAGTGATGAAATGGGAGGTGGCCCCCCATCATATGGACGGTGTAGGACGTGATAATAACAACTTGCGAGCTGACCAGGAACTAACTTGATGCGCCGTTGATCCGCTAGATTTGGTTGGATGCTGGTGGTGAGTTGCCTAACCCAACGAATACATTCTGAAGTCGGATGGGGTGACGGATTAGGGTGCCCCTCTAGCAGGGGAGAGCAGGGACTGCCCCGGGGAAGGGGGCCGCTGGCGAAGTTAACCACCCTGTAACAACATACAATACTTACATGCACGCACAAATATACATACATACACGCACACATACACGTCCTACGCCTGTTGCCTAACTAGGCCATACAGCAATTAGTGAATCTTCACGCGTCCTTTCATAACCGCCGCGCACACACAAATGCAGACACATGCACACGTCCTGGGAATGCAAGTTACGAACTCATTCTACGAACACATTCTGTCGCGGCCAGCCAGCGACGGACCACTTATCATGATGCAAATATAGCCTTCAGCACCGCCTCCAACTCTATTGAACACGAAACACTTTGATGTTTCCTAGGAGCATATGGCCTGCACGGGGGTCCCATCCTGGACTCAAGAGAGAGTCCAGGCTTTTAGCTACGCCGAAGTCAAGGCTCGTGTGAAGATGGGTGCTAGGATTAAACCCGAATTTCCGGTTGGCCGTGGGGTTAAACACTGGAATGGCCCTTAAGTGTGACAGAATTCCGACTTTTCATTGAGGTGTTCGCCCACTATTTTGGCGCACACGACGCCGAATGTCGCCTGCTGTGACTTCCTGCGCGTTGGACTTCCTGAGCCTACAAGCTCAGAGCGTGTCATTCAATGAGGCCACCAACCTGATTTTTTGGTCGATGATGCATCTTTAGCGGCAACTAGGGCTGTGTTGCATAGGCCGCTGTATCAGGTGCTCTATGCTTTTCAGGTTAGGCTGTTGGGAACGGGAAGTTAATGGGCCCGCCAGCGTGCCGCGTGTACCTGCAGGCTTTATGACTGCGGAGTGGTTGAGGACGAGCTGCTGCATGTCTTATGTGAATGCCCACTGGCCTAAGAGGACCTTAGGGTTAGATACGAGGGGGACACCGGCTTCCGAGGGTACGGAGTGCGTGCTGTTATGACGAAGCCCCCATTATAACTGTGGCTGGTTTTCCCTCAGAGGTCTGGGAGACCAGGCACAGGCGCGCCGAGCCCAGGCAAGCGTTTTTTTTGAGGACGTCAACGTCCCCACTCGGCGCCAAAGTAATGGCTATTGACCGGCAATGGTGTCCCCGGGTTTTATGGACGATCCCCCCATTTGCGCGGAACTTGTAACTTGGAATGATCTCAGCCTTTGGGCACACATCCGTACCCTTTTTGAGGGATATCCGCTTAGAGCATGCACTGCTGCTGATGATGACGAATTTGTTCATGTACATGCGTTTAGATCCATATGAATGCAACACGTAAGCGTTCTGTACGACGTATATTGTACGATGCGATCCAGGTCGCTGGAACGGGGTCTCTTACGACGGAGGAGTCGTTGGGAACAAATTGACGTACGTAGCACATGCGAAGCGCAAAAATATTTTCCCTTCATTATTGGGGAGAGTAGATTGGCGGTTTGTTTGTTTGTATCATGGTGCACTTGAATGGCGGACAACTGGGGAAGCAACTTAGGGGCGTACTGTAGCGGGACAAGGACGAGACCGAGACAAGGCAAAGGACGCAAAAAGTAAGAGCATTGGGAGAGTTATTGGTCAGTTCCAACGAGCGAAAGTAGTCTCCGTTTGCACCCTGGGCAACGCCCCACACTCGCTCCCGGCGAAGCGGTGCAAACTGAGACGTGCAAGCAGGCAACAGGCAGACAACCGGCGGCAACAGCCAGAGAGCGGGATAATCAGCAAACCCCAACGAAACGAACACTGGCCGTGTGCCAACTCCGTTGTCACTGTCGCATGCAACGCAATGCCAGGGGGGAGCTGCATGCAGCAAGGAAACCGTCCCCAGCTGTCCATCCCTTGTATATCGTCTTTAACTGCATTTCACTCGATGGTTCGATACGGCGCGGTACGGTGTGAACTGTACGGTGCATCCAGCCCTGGTGCATACCACCGGCAAATACCTAGCACTGGCTTTAGGTTCCACAAGTAAAGCGAGCTGTATGTACGGCAAAAGGGAATCAGTAAAGTCACTGGGTATATGGGTGCATGGGTACATGAATGTGTAGTAAATGTTATGTAAACCGTTAGTTTTAGTTAACCTTATTACGTGGGAAACCCCAAAGACACGCAACAATACATCAGGCCGCATCCCAATTCCATCATTATTAAGGTGGCCAATTTGTCACCCGGCATGAGGGTGTCACAAATCCATCTACAGACGACATCCCCACCAGGCCAGGAATCATGCGACATCATATGCCATGGCGACCTTTAGCCAGCCTGAGATTGTACGGCAGTCGGCACACATATCGTCTAAAAAATAAACGCTAAGGCGCTCTGCCAGCATCTACAGATCGAGGCCAGCTACCACAACTGCCCCCTGGTATACAAAGGGTTGCCAAAGACAGGAGATCTACTCTCTGTGTAAGGCGGCCGGCGTGCTTAAGAGTGGATCCGTTAGCTCAATTTGATTGGCCAGGCAGAGGTGCCATAATCAGCCGCTTTCGTTGACCCATACAGCCCTACCAGCCCGTGCCCCGTGTCGACGTTTCGACTGGACAGGGTTCGCAAATTGCCTGGGGATGAAGCACGATGAACGGCCATCCTCGATTGACGAATCAAAATTTCGATTTTCCTCACCTCCTCGGGTTTCTCGCCCATGTGACGGCTTGCATCAGCGCGGTTTCGGAACACCTGCTTTACCGCATTGTAAGGCAGCACAGATGGTGTTGTTTGGATCTGGGGGGTACAAGTACCAGCATTTGCGGAGGGAGATTTAAAGTGCCGGGTAAATGTCGTTTGTTGCTGTTCTTCAGGCTTCCTGCGTATGTGCCCGCTTGCAAGTTGCTTTTGCAATTCGGTACGGCCTGGTCGTAGATGTGGTTAGTTTGGTTACCGTACTGGTGGGTCGCACTGGTGAAGGAGGATGGCTGTCAGAGGATGATCGTACACCCTTTCCGCCCTCACTACCGACCCCTGGCATCCCCCAACTTTGCTATCGTGCTGCAGGCTGTTGACATTCAAACTAAACAATACAATGAGCATGTCCGAAGTGCAAAAGAAACGTCCCGTATGGGATTCGAACCCATGATCCCTGGATGTCTTAGTAATAGAAGTCCAGTGCGTTATCCACTACGCCAACGGGACATGGCATATTTTAATATTATGTGCAATATATCAACAATTTTAGCACGTACGTAAGTACACGTTTCTAGCACGTACGTACTATCATATCACATACCTTTGTAACTATGTGACTATGTACGAAACCCGTTAGGCTGAAGGAGGGAGGCCCGCTTGCTCTGATTGGGGGTTTGGACCTTGTAAAGTCCCCCTGCCATGAGATACCTTGGATATGGCTATTCAAGCCGATTCCGTAAGACATGCGAACGCAAGGTCAGGCTTTGGCTCTTCGACTGCACTGTAACTGGTATGTAGGTAAACATACCTACAATAGTCATTCCCCTGAGATTTTTTGTCCTTGCCCCGCGCACTCAAACATCGAATGCCAGTGTCCTCGCCGTGCTCCTTCGGCGGGTGCCGCCGCTCTCCTATTCTCGTTTGGTACGGACGACCAACGAAGAACGGTTGCCACTAATGAACCAGCTATGCGTAAAAAACTGCAATGCAGATGTGTACGCCATTTCAGTGCAGTATGCCTATATCTGTATTGAATGGACCGGTTCAGGTTGCCTTAAGCAGACTACAGCTGCAGTTGGTTCGGCCACACTTAGGGCCCGAACAGGTATACTTGGGTGTACATTTGGTATCGATACGGCGAGCAGTAGAGGAGGTCAATAAAGAGTCTTTGACTCATATCGCTCAGCAATCTTTGCCCTCTGGACCACCATCCAACATTCGGCTATTGAAGAAGGAGAAACGCTTGGAGCTTTTATATGATGAGGGCCAAAAGATCTCGCTGCCAGCAGAGCTGCTGCGCGTGTGCAGCCCCAGCGCTGACACCAGGCGACTAATTCCTGCTACTGGCCGCGAACGGGTAAACATTTATTCCTCTCTAGGTAAAATTTTGGACCTTATGCTGAGTATGTTGTACAGGAGTTCGGCCTGGTAGCATGTGCAAGGTGTACATTGTTTCAGCTTCCCCATCCCCAAGCCCACACTTATTTTAAAACTCGCATAGGTGGTCGCGGGTCGCCGCCATGTTGGCATCATGTCCATTGAACCAGTCGGCAACTACGCCATCCGGTAAGACGCGAATGCGAAGCGTCCACAGCAATGACTGTTTCTTCTAGAAGGTGGGCAAAGGGTGGTGGGAGAAATGGATAACTACCCGGTGGCTGACTGGTACGGTGTGCTGTGCTGTGGTGTGGCGTGGCGTGCGGGCAAGCCGGCAACCTGCGAAGGTTAAAGCTCCCCGACTAGGTATGTGCGTGAAGGCAGCCAAACTTCGCTGCGCTTCATACACCCGGTGGATATTGACCTACCGAAGCGAATACGACAACGTTGCGCGTGGGAAAGAAAGAGCCACAACGAACGGCCCTTTCATCGATCACAAGTAGCTTACAATAACTCCTCTTGCGTGTGGTGCTCACAAGTACTGCTTTATAAGGGTCCTCCGGGCTTCCTCCTTCCATCCCATCCAAAGCTCCAAAACTCACTGGGCAACAGCGGGGTTTTTCCTTTGACGTTTTTCCTTTGATTTCCTTTGATAGGCAATTAAGACCCGCAAGCTTGTCAACCTTCCCATAACCGGTCTGTCAGTTACAGATGTGAACCTCCGCCGCATCCAGGAACAGCAACCCAGAGATAACACGGGGACCAAAAACAGTGCAGCTCTTCACATATAAAGCTTGTTTTGTTGCATGTGTTGTTTTTTATTTGTCCTAACCCTAGATATCTCTCTCCTGGCTGGGCGGCTCCTTATCCTAGGTCCCCAGCACGACCACCACCTCGTCGTGCACCGTCCCTGCACCGTTCGGCCCCTCAAGCCTTGTCTCTATGAATGTACTGCCATACGGTTTTCCGTACAGGATCCATTTTGACGATCTGCACAGCAGTGGCATCTTCACGTGGGACTATCTGGCCCAACTTGGCGGCCCGGGCAGGTGCGTTTAGGGGGAAGGGGGACTGGCTGCGGGTCAGTATTGAAACCCTAAAACACCCACGACACGAGGATATGATGAGGAGAGCGGCTGGGGGTTGAGAAACGAAGGACACCCTGTCCGGAAGGTTGGTAAGGGGGTAAGGGAAAGCGAAGTGGTCGAAGCGAAGTAAAATTGTGTTTGTTGGCAAAAAGGAAACCTGGACTATGCAGGAAGACATGTCCCGTACGCGCATGCTAGGACGGGATGAGAGGGAGAGTGAAGTAAGAGTGGTGGGAAGTGGGCGTATAGGACATCCAAGTTTGAGCTTCTTGTGAGGGCCTTGTGCCGGTCTGACGGCCAAGTGCAACGCCGTGTACGCCCGTGACGGCGGGTCGCGTGCCGGGGGCTTGTTGTTCTTGTTGCTGCTGCTGCTGCGCAGCTAGGGCAGCACAGCTGTAATGGTTGTGGTAATCGTCGCGGTGTATGATGATGATGATGATAATGATGATGATGATGATGCCGTGTGCCGTTGCCGGGTTTTGTTTACCCCTTTTCCCTCCCGTTGACAGTCGACCCTTCCTTGCTGGCTGCATCCAATTCCTCCTTCCCTCCCTGCCCGGGCCCACTCCGGACTAATTGACTAACTAACTAACTAACATGGGGCCCAGGTGGCCGGCGATGCGCGAGTACCTACGCGGGCTGCGGCAGGCAGGGCTGAGCCGTGATCCGCAGATCCAGATCCAGGCCAAGATCCAGTCCCCACGCCGCCCAACACAACCACCAGCACCTGCCTCATCGCCACCATCAGTGCTGTCAAGGCAACCGCTACCGCCGGACCACCCCCAGCAGCAACATCAGGAACAACAGCAACAGTAGCAAACAGCTGAGAGGAACTGCCGAGGATGGAACGTAATGTAACGTGGTGAATGTGCATGATGCATGCATGGATGGATGGAGATTGGTGATGTAAAAGGGGGCGGCGACGGTGGCGGAGGGAAACGGAGGGAGATGGGGAAGAGGCAGCCGGCGGAGCGCATGTCAGCCATCAGGCCAGCGCTCTGGAAGGCGCACTCATTTATTTTGACGAAAGAGGCCGCAATGTGGGCTATTAACCAAGCCGACGGGGGATGATGCTGGGCATGCGTTTTTCCCCCAGAGGATGCGGCTTTTGCACTGCCGCTTGGTTGTCGCTCGAAAAACTGCGTCATTGATGGTGGGCTTTTGCCAGGAGTGGTGTATATGCATTACTGTTGTTGTTGTCGTTGTTATATTGGCTGTGGGGTTGGTGATGGCTGGCGGTGGGGCAGTGCGAATGGTGGCTATGGGCGTGCGGCGCCATCCCATAGGGCCGCGGCTGCTGAGTGACGACACGCCGTGTTCCGTTGCCTGAGTCGCCTGAGGGCGTGACACACCAGACCGACAGGCTACATGTACCCCCGCCTTGCGCTGCTTTTGGGGCCTCACAAGCACAAGGTCACGGATTTCTCAGCGACAACCAGCTGCGACAGACTCTGTTCCAAGAGTTGGCAAAGAGCAAAGCAACGTAGGGTTTGTGGCTGCTGACACAGCAACTTCGCCGAAGTCACTTCATGTATCGAATGTACACGGATATGTGTGCGTGTGCGTGTGTTACATGGTTGGGGGTGCGTGACCCCATACCTGTAAAACTACCCATACGAGCCGAAGGCCCAAGGGGTATAGCACGTACACGGATATAGCTGGATACAGTGAAGAGCAAGGACAACGGATAAACAGCTGCGGAGCTCTCACAATCACAGTGCCTGCTGTCTAATTATAATACAAGCCATAAAATATGCCGTCCACCGGTCGCAGTGGACCCTCCTGGCCTTGGAAATTAACGACTCGGGGCGAAAGCCGGATCGGTTGAAAGCCGTATGTCTAACATATGCGCAATTCATATCGTAACGAAGGAGGTAAATTCCCAGAAGCGTACTGCACCGCAGCTTTCTATTCGTAAGATGGAGTTAGATAAGCGCCCTACGCCAATCGAAAGCCAGCCAGCTTACGACGCGCAGTTCTTATTTCCACGACTCCGAGAGGATGGTTGCAAATATCCTAAAAAGGAAGAGGAAGAGCGCGACTAAGGAAAAGAGAAATGAACCCTAAACGGGAAGCAACCCCCATTCTTGCAAGAATGTTCATTTGCAGCCATCCAAAGCGAAGTGCGACCAAAGCGCAGAGCGAGCCCTGACATCTCTTATGGGGACTCCACCGAAAGAAAAGAAGGAGAAGCAGCAAGCAAGCCGCAAACTCTAAGAACGCACATACAGCCCAACAAGGCCCCGGCTAGGGCGAGGTTATTCGCCTGCCTTGTACGGTACCACGAGGTACCGGATACAGCCGTACCGCTACATATCACCTTCGTTTCGAAGGTTTTTTCTCCGTCCTTTCAATCCTTTCCAGGTATTGCGTTTGGAAAGCCTCGTTCGCTCTATCTGCTAGGACCTTTTGAACAGAAAAATAGAAGACTATCAGCAACGCTAAAGGGCAGAGTGCTTTCCCTTTCCTGCACATCCTGTGAGCGATCTATTGCGATGCCTTCCCTTAAGTAATGCAGGGGTGAGGAATGTGGGCTCTCGCCAGGTACACAGGGGAAATTTGTGCGCTCTCCTAGCCACCTACCGTCATAAAGTATGCTTCTGCTGCTTCTGCATCAGCAATGCCCTGCTGCTGCCACTGGTGCCTCCGCGAACACAGCATGTGTTCCTCAGGGACGAGGTAGCGAAGGAAGCAGTGCAGTTTGATTGACGTGTTGCTCACACTCGCGCTTGATGTCAGCAGGTAGACTCATGTAATATAGATGATGAGATGACTATAAAACTACTCGTCCCAAAAGTAATGCCCGTACTCACAGAGATGATGGGGGAATAATTGTGAAGCAGGGGGCGAAGCAGAGAAACCCTATTTTGGTGGTTGGGGACAAGGCCCGCGGGCCGGGGTATGCGCACGGTCTGGATTAGGGCATGTCATACAGGACTGGTTTCGACCTTAAAGCAAAAAATAGGTGAAGGGGATACAGAAATGGTCCGGTATGGTGACGAAAGCACCTCGCGACTTATGGGTTTGGATCGGAACGTCTGCAGTAAGCGTGCATATGTGTGTGCAGAGCAAGGGGGGAAAATATGTGGGTGCGCATGTTTTTTCTAATGCTACCGCCTCTGCCGCCTGCTGGCGATGCCTCCGCATATATTTTAGTTATATTAAATTTATTATCATAAAATATCTCAGTTATATCTATTATATTATATTATATCCACGTTTTTGCAAGGAAAGGCGAGCGCGAGCCGTGAAATGTCTGGGCATTCAAACGAAAACGTAAAGAAGCCTGACCTAGGACCGGGCTTATATGGACTCATTTGTGTTCTTCGCAGATTCCTCAAGGCGTGACGTTCTGGCTAATTGTCTCAGAGTTACAGTGATTCACGCCATGCTTCCATGCTCCCATGTTTCACCTTTTCCTTGTCTCGAGTTTGGGAGATGCGACTATTGCCCTTCCCGCAGGCGAAGGTTCGCGTGTCGATGGTTCGTTTGTCGACTGTTGTTTGTTAGGTTTGACTTACTCGTCAGGTATAAGTCATATCCTAAGGCATAAGCCAAATAACCTGAGGGTATCACACGCATTGCTTGTGTGCTGTTTGAGGTTTCTGGGCCCGTGCTGTCCAAGGCGCAGTGAAAAGAAGACGGGGCCAGGGAGAGCAGGTGAGAGCAGGCATTTTTTTTCGTAAGGGTTAAAATTGACCCGCAAAATCCAGGGCCGCTACGTGGAATAGAAATATTTTGTGGTGTAGGAAGAAGCCCATTACATTATATCAGGGCTAATTTGAGGCCATGGGTAAAGGCCTGTTGGCCGTTACCCTCGGCTGGCTTAGGGCTGCGGGCAGACACGCCAAGCGCTGCAGCTATACATGGCAAGAGAGAGAAGAATGCTTCTTAAAAATTAAACCAGAAATAAATGCCTAACTGTACCAAGTCCAGAAGCGAGGGTTATGACAACGGATATGCGTCTTCCCCAGTACTGACTATCGTATCGTAAGGGGCATTCCGTAATCCGTATACGTCTAGGGAAATGCTAAGAGAAGATTCGGATAATGACTTAATTCAAGTGAAAATCTTTCCAGCACCTTTATTCGAATATGGTAAATCCTGTATCAGTAATCCTTGTCGGGTGTACGTCAAACCTAGGAAGGGTGGAATTTGCTGGAGGCATGAACTGAATTATATGCCACAGCGACTTATCCCTCGCAAGTTATGAACTTGGAGAGCTGGGACCATTCGGATGCCTTAAGATAGGCGGCTGTCAGTGACGGAACAACAGTACCTGCCGAGCCGTAAACGTGATGGAGGTGAGCTAGAGAATAGTTTGAGCTTCGGCTTTAGGGCACTCATTTACCTGGTTACACGCGCCGCGCAAAGGAAAGTCAATGGCTTCCAGCACATCTACTATCAGTGTCCGAACACACAACATTTTGGTTGCAATAGAATTGGCAGTGTTTGGCAGTTGTTATTTCCTCTTCAGATCCCGCCAACTTAAGCGCCCTCTGTTGGCTTGCATCGGTGCTTTCGGCACAGAGGTATGAGTACCTTGAGACGATAAGCTCTGGGGCATATGGAGTGTGTTACAAGGTGTTGGATACGGCAACAGGTCAGCATTGTGCTGCGAAAGGTATCAAGCAAGCACATGAGGATGCTGAGGTACGGAGGCAAGGATGCGACTTAGGCAGCAAGGGATGGAATTTACAAATTGCGATACATGATTTGGCCATCATCCATGTTTGGGATTTTCCTAACTTTTGGGAATCAACCGTTTTCATGCAACTGTCTTTTGCGGAAAACGAGACCTACCATGCGGTCGCCATGCTTCATTTATGTGTGAATGATTTTTAGCCATTGTCACCAAGTGACGCTGGTTGGGCCTAGTTTTATGTACTCGCGGACAACGCTTTACGCTTTACCAGGTTTGCTAATTGCATCGCAGCTAATTGGAAATCACCCAATTCCTCTTGATGCGTTTTTTTGCGGTGGTCTGCTGCGAATGGCCATTATGGTCAGCTGGCGGGGTTTTCGTAAAGGAGTCGACGTTTCAGTACTCCTACTTTGGCTCATTGATTTCAACGTCTCGGTGTGGATCTTTATGCCCTGTGTCGATATGTTAAGATGTGCTAGGATGATATGTCGAAGGATGCTCAGCTCTTCAAGTTCACACTTTGCGTGGTGGCACTGTATTTGTAAAGCGGACGACGGCTGCCTGCAGTCTGGAAGCTTTGTACAGCTTTGCGTAGCTAGTTTTCCTGTACCCCCAGGAACATAACGACACGGCAATCATTTTTCTTACGGACTAAGAAACAGTATCATGCGGCATCTTTCCACAGGTTATGAGGCTCACACTCCGAGAGGTGAAAATCCTGAAAACCCTCCCGCCTCACGTTAACGTCGTGAGACTTTTAGAGGCCTTTCGGAGCCACAGTGGCAGGTACGCCGCTTTAAAAAAGCTCTTGCTTTTGCTCCCTACGCACACAATCATTCTTTTCTGCGCACATCTGGCGCTGCACTGCTGGCTTCTGAACGACAACATAGCCTGTTTGACCGGCTCATCCGACTTTTCCTTGCGCTAAAACCAATCTCCTGCTTAGAATTCTCAAGTTCACTATGCTTGGCGCTACTTGACACACAATTCAGCAAGGGCAAAACGTTGGTTTGGGACGACCGACACCCGACATCTGTGCCGTATACCGCAGGGTATACCTGGTTTTCGAGTATGTCGAACGGAGCTTGTACCAGGTAAAATTAGTTGTTTCTCAAGCTCTGGCATGTGAAGTAAAATGCATCCTCATCCGTTCTCGTCATTATTTTTGGGAATTAGGTGGTCTTTAAAGATAGGGCTTACACTCCAACCGCCATCTAGCCGCAGGGCTTTACTTTTACTATAGGTCTTCATCTCCTCGCTCCCTTTCCCGCTGCAGCCACACCAGAAGAAACCAAATTTCCCCTTAACTCACCTCAACGTTCCAACATACAGACACCATCCGGCGACCCTTCAAACCTAAAACTTCCCACCTTCCGCCTCCGCCTCCTCTTATGTCTCAAACATGGCGGATCCACAGGAGCTTGAACGGCATCCCGCAGGCGCCCTCCCTGGCCCCATGGTCAAGTCCGTTGCCTGGCAGCTGCTCCATGCTCTGGGCCACTGCCATGACCACGGGGTAAGCAAGTGTCGTACGGAACGCTGCGCATCATTGCCCCTCGCTCAAACAATCGCAACGCCTATATCCTTTTCCCTTTTTTGTTACCTGCCGACGGTGCTGCCATGGTGGTGATAGAGAGCTTCTGTGGGTTTGGACCTCCCCGCGATGTCCACCTGAATTGGGCAGGGTGCCCAGGCAGCAGAAACTGGAAACGGGAAATCATACCTCGCGCACATACATATGCATGTTGCTGCGTTCAATCATGCAAAGTGACCTTTGCCTTCCGCTACGTTGTTTCACAAATGCGCTGCCCTGCTATGTGCTGTATTGTTTTGTGCTGTGCCTTACCGTACTGCATTCTGCCGTACCCTGCTTTTCATAAACATGGTGTATCACGTTAGTTGTCGCGTAAAACCCTTCCGCCGGGTTGCAGGTCTTGCACAGAGATGTGAAACCTGCCAACGTGCTTCTGACGGGGTACACCCCAGGATTAGGAAGCGGGGGTGTTGTGAAGCTTTGTGACTTTGGATTTGCTCGTACATTGCCTGGCGGCGGTGGCAGAGCTGGGGGCGGCGCCGGCGGTGGCGCTGGCATCGGTGCCGGGGCCGCCGGCTTGTCGTCGTACGTGATGACTAGATGGTATCGTCCCCCAGAGGTGGGTAGTTGCTGTTGTGCGCGTCCTCTTCAGTATGTGTACGTGTACGTGTACGATTATGCTTGCTCTTACATATGTGAATACGTGTATGTGTACGGAAACACGTGTGAGCGCGAGGCGACTGAGAAACGGACGGCGTGGGAGGCCCTTGTCACCCCCCTTTTCTGCTTACAAAATCTGTAGCCGCATCATCGCTTTCATGCCGTTCCAAATTGAGCTCGAGTGAACCGTACGTATCCCTGTACGTGCTGCAGGTTCTCGTTGGGGACAGCTACGGCACGGCCATCGATATTTGGTCGTACGGATGCACGTTGGCGGAGCTAGCCACAGGCCGGCCTCTGTTTCCTGGTAAGCATCATTTGTCCCGTACGCCGTACCCTGTACGCCGTGCCCTGAACTGCATGGAGTTGGAAAAATTGTAGCACCTTATGCATAGGGCCCATAAAGCGCAGGTCTGTCCACCCCGCTGTACACCCCCTCACCTTGGCGCCTGTCTGTCTGTCTGTCTGTCTGTCTGTCTGTCTAACTGCACGCCCACGAGTGACTTTTCCAGCTTTGACAAACTGACAGTCGTCTGACGCCACACTAAAAGGAGGTCTTTCCCTGGAGCAGGTCGGTCCACTGTTGACCAGCTGTGGCGCATCATGCGCTGCCTGGGCCCGCTGCCGCCGTTGCAAGCCGCCGCCATGCGCCGGGACCTGGGGCTGCAGGCTGTGTGGTCGCCTCCGCAGCGGCTCAAGACGCTGCGGCAGCGGCTGCCGGTGGGGCTGACGAGGAGCCCTCGTGTATAGTGTGTCATCTCGCATGCGCCCTCTGCTTGTCGTGTGTGCGCGCGTGTGTGTGTGCGTGTGCGTGTGCGTGTGCGAGGTGGATATGTGTTTTGGTGTCTGTATTGTGTGATGAGGTGGCTTTGGGGCCAGGGTGGCGGCGGCGGTGGGTTGCCGGTTAGCATCAGGATGCAGCATGAGACTTGCGGGCATCAGGGAAGGATGGACGATGTTTGGATGCAGATCTACGTCGAAGGGGATGCCTTTCGTTTAAAACCGTAAGCCAATTGCCACACAGAAATATGCCGTACTGCCTCTGCAGTACATATAATATATTTCGCAATCCGGGGACCAACGTTTTCGTCCCGGGTTGCCATGCATGCAGGATTTGGATCCTCGGCTTTTTGAGGTAGTAAGTGCCTGCCTAACGATGGATCCGCAGCGCCGACCCACGGTTCGCCAGCTGCTGGAAATGCCGTACTTTTGGGACGTACGCACCTTGCTCGCCAACACAGACCTGGCCCGGCAGCTGCCGTACGCTGCGGACATGGCCTGCACAATAAATTTCAGGTCGACTGCAACGAGGGCGGCGGCAACGGCAGCGGTGAAGCCTGCTATCGCGGACACATACCGCAATGCGCCCAGCTGTGCGGATGCCGTACTGTACGACAGAAACCTCTCTGGGGGAACGCAGGCGGAAGTGCCGGCGGCGAACAACGCTAGTACGACACCGTTTGTGGTGTCGTCCATCGTGACCGCGCCGCCGGTGGTTGTGGTGGTGGTACCAGATAAGGGCGTGAAGGTAAAATCAGAAGCTGCCGATTCAGTGACAACACGACAAGATGCCGCCGCCAGCGGCCCAAGCGCCGCACGTGGTGGTGAAGACACATGTTTTTCAACGCCGCTCCTGCCGTCAAAAGCGGCAGCGGCGGCTGAAGATGAAGCCATTTACGAAGCATCGTACACCACGCGGATGAATTCCCTGAAAACGGCCAATCTGGTCACCATGGATGCTGGGTGTACGGACTGGGTAGCTGGGGCTCCCACCACCCCGGTGCACATGACGGTGGCCGCCAAAGCCGCGGCCGCCACGGCGGCGGCAGCGGCGGCATCAACGGTAACGGCGGCCACTGCAGCCGCAGCTGCCGTCCCGCCGCTGCCACCGCCACGGCTTGACCTCTCGTCACCTTCAGACGTGTCAACGGCTCCCAGGACGCCTTTTCGTGCAAACCATTTCTCGACAACTTCCACAGCACCAGCACCAGCACCAGCACCAGCACCAGCACCAGCACCAGCACCAGCAGGAATAGCAGAAGTTGCGGTGGCTGCGACGGCAGCTGAGCGAAACTTGGAAACTCAGGGCAATGCCGCCGGTGGTGCCGTACACACGCCCGTATCCGGCCCTGCCACCGTCGCTGACGCCGACTCTGTGTTTCAGGGCCGCCGTACCGCCGCTGCCGCTGCAACCAGATGCACTCCCATCGCCACCGCCGCTGCCGTTCCCGAGGGCACCGCCACCGGCAGTGATGATAAGAGCAGCGGCAACGGCAATGGCCCTGCTATCGCGCGCCGGAGCTTGCCGTACGACGGCGCAGCAGGGTCGTATCCCCCAGCGGCGGCGGCCTTGCCGCGCCGGAGCGCCGCGGTGGCACAGCGGGCCGACAGCGGCCGCCGCATTTACTTGGCCATCGGAAATCACACCGATACCGCGTCTCAAGCCGGACCGCGAGTTCCGGCTGTGGCGGCGAAGGCGGCGGCGGCGGCGGCCGTGGCGGCGGTGGTGGATGGGTCACCTCAGAGGCAGCTGCAGCCGCCAACACTTCGACCTGACGCCAAGATTCCATTCGGGGTTTCATCTGTACGACTATTGTCCGTTGCACGCTGCCACAGAGGCGGCGTCGGCGGCGGTGGCAGCAGCGGCGCCAAGTCGCTTCACACAGCCGTGCGCACCATGAGCAGCTGCAGCAGCAGCAGCGGCGGCGGCGGCGGCGGCGGCGTCCGCGGTGGCGGCAGCAACGGCTCTGGTATCGCCCCAGTCGCCATCAGCATTGGTGTCGTCGGCGCCGGCGCCAGCCCTCGGATCTTGGATCCCAAATACGACAGTCTTTCCCGTTTTGCTAGCGGCGCTGGCGAAACACAGGAGTCCGTGCTTTCGTCAGAACTGAAGTACATTCGAAGTCCGGCGGGCGCGCCTGAGCTGTGCCAGTTCGTCGCCGCTGGGGCCTCGCTGCCACACCGACGAGGCCCCGCTGTGGAAAGCAGCTTACTGTTTCTACCTTCACCCTCGGAGACTACCGGTACGGCAGGTGAAGCGAATCCTATCAGTTAGCGTCCAATACCCATCTAACTCCCCTGCGACTATATTACTTCTATGTCTTATATGGAGCGCGAATTTTTATTGGGTAGCTTAGCACCACTAGGATCACGCCGTACGGCTTTTCCATGGTTTGCCGTACACCGTTAGCTGCCGCAACCACCGCATTTTGATATTCGCCATGGGTCAATTTCCTCTCGAACCGCCGCAGAAACCATACAGGTGTCGCAATCAGCCGCTGGTGGTGCCGGCGGCGGCGGCGGCGGCGCCGCCGCCGCCACAGCCGCTGCAGCCGCTGCAGCCGCTGGCACTACGACTGCGGAGGTTTGCCTGCCCAGCGGCGCCATCCCCAATTATGTCTTCGAGCTCGACCCGTACCATAGTACGGCGGATCAGCAGATGGAGGTGTACGACACACAGCCCGTCGGCTTCTCCTTGAGCAGCTCACCGCCGGGCCAGGGGCCCCCCGGTCGACAGCACAGCAGGCTATGGAGCTGGGCGCTTTCATCGCTTCGTCTCGTGGGCGGGTTGGACCCTCATCTTCATCCTCTTCCTCAGGCGCACGTGGGGATGCAGATGCAGCAGCAGCAAATGCAGCAGCAGCAAATGCAGCAGCAAATGCAGCAGCAGCAAATGCAGCAGCAGCAAATGCAGCAGCAGCAAATGCAGCAGCAGCAAATGCAGCAGCAGCAAATGCAGCAGCAAATGCAGCAGCAGCAGTTGCACTCGCGGTTTCCCACATATACTCAGCAGCAGCACTCGCAGGACTTGCCACACTCGCAGCACCAAGAGCATGTTACTGCGGTGAGCTCATTCATCCACACAAAGAGGTGGCTAGGTTTGCACGGGGGGCCCTCCGGCGGTGGCGGCGGCGGCGGCGGCGCTCGTGGCAGCACTGGCAGCAGCGGTGGAGCAGGTGGTGCGAGCCGGCATGCTGACTTCGTCGACACCCGCTTGCCCTTCTGCACAGCTACTGCCGCCGCCGCCACTACTGCCGCCGCGCACGGTGGCGGCAGCCGCGGCGGCAGCTGCACAATGGGCAGCATGTTGGGCGGCGGTGGTGGTGGCGGGATGGACACCGTCGCGCCAAGCACGCCTGAGGGGTACGGCAACAGCCAATCGAGAAGCTTGCTCCTCGCCGCCGCCGCCGCCGCCGCCACGGGGGGAGGCTGCCGCAGCGGCAACCTTCGCGGCCTGCCAGAAGCCAGCGTCAGGCCAGGCGGGAAGCCACTCAAATCTTCGCGGTCCCTGCCTGCTTGGCTTTTCGGACCTCTGCATCGAAGGGCGACAGCTGGGGCAGGCGGCGGCCACAGCGGCGGTGAGGCCGCAGGCTGCGCTGCTGGCGGTGCCGCTGCTGCTATGGGCGGCTGTGGCGGCGGTTCCGGAGCATCGCCTGGCCTGGATCAATCATACGGAAACCGGAGGCAGTCGATTCCGCAGCAAGTGGTGCTACAGACGAGGCACAGCTGCCTCCGGACACGTAGCCAAACGGTGCGTGAGTGCGCAGACTCAGGGCTATTGTCGTCGTCAAGATCATCACCTGCGTTACATACTTTGTGGCCGTAAAAGGCTAGCGTGTATGTTTTATATATTAAATACTTACATGCATATATGGGTGTAAGTGGCAATGCCGTACAAGTCCTTCTGACCTTCTGACCTTTCGCCTCCCTCACTCACTCAATCGTCGCGCGCAGTACATGGTTGAATCGCCCTCTTCCTCCTGCCCTCCCCTTTTTCCGGCCGTTACCTTTTTTCTCATCGCCCGTTTCGGCTATGCTCCACTTTTAGTCCCTCTCCTCACTCGACCCTTCTCGGTGTTCTCCCTCCAGGCCTCTCCCATTTTCCTCGGTGTTGTCCCTCTCCTTTTCCACCCGACCCTTCCCTCCGCACCCAGGTTACCAGCAGCACTTTGTCCCCCACGTGCTTACCCCCGGTCGAGGGGCCACTGCAAGGGGGGACCACTGCAAGGGCAAACTGCGATGTTGGCGGCAGCTGCGGCGCCGCTGCCGCTGTACGTCGTCGGCCGTCTTCTGTCGCTGTGGGTTATCCCAGGGCTCCCTCTTCGGACTCCGGACCTTGGGATGGCGGAGCGACGCCGGCGGCGACCGCGGCGGCCTCCGCCGCCGCCGCCGCCACCGCAGGTGCTGCGGCTGCCGTGAGGCGCATTTCCGGAACGACGGCCAGCAGCGGCGGCATTGGCGGCGGCACTGTTGACGTTAGGACTGTTTTCGCCACCATGCCACACAGGGCAGGCTCAGAGACTGCGGGCCAGATCACCGCTTCCGGCGCCGGCAGCGAATGCCGGTCCGACGGTTGCCAGCGGCTACCACAACATGGTGCAGGGCAGGCCTTATGCACTAACAGGGCATCCTGCCGCAAACTTGGCGCAGCCCCGCCAGACGTCAGCGGTGCATCTGCAGTAGCCCCACTACAGCAGCAGCTGCAGCTGCAGCAGCCGTTGCCTCCTCTTCGTTGCCAGGTTACGGCGCCTACTCCTCTATCTAGATGTTGCCTCTCGTCCAAGAAGATCAAATCTGGATTCAGCCGTCTTCGATCCAGATCCTTGTCAAACCCTGGCGTGGCAGCGACGGCGGCGGCGGCGGCATCGTGCGCCATTATTACTCCGGCCGCCCTGCGGGATGAGCGGCGGCGCGGCGGAGTCTGCCTGCCTGTTGCAGCCGCCGGCGCGGCTCTGAGAAGAGTCCTCTCATCTTTCCGTACTTGCCGTACTGCGCGTAGTTTATCAGGTCGGTTGCATCTAGGAGGATTGGGGAGTGGCAGCTCCACCGGCGGTGGTGGCAGCGGTGGCGGAGGCTCCTCTCGCGCGACAGGCTCACCTACCGGCAGCTTCTACATGGCTGGCGGGAGCAACGGCGGCGGCGCAGCTACCGGCAGTGCCGGTGACACGGATTCATCTACGATTCAGCGGAGCACGTGCCGTGGTGGGCCGACCCCCATGTCTGCGGAACGGCACTGCCCCGGCGGGAGGACTCATGCAACGGCGGCCGGCAAGGCCAGCGTCGACGACGCCTCTGCCGCCGCCGCCGCCGCCACAGCCACCGGTGGCGCCGGCAGTCGCATGCTGTCGGCTGGGTTGGCTGGCGACTTCATTGATGCTGGCGCGGACGCTGGTACTGGCGCTGGCACTGGCGGTGACGGCAGCTACGGCC